ATTAAAGCAAGCCACAAAATATATATAATATTCACAAACAATCACATTGGTAATTTACTTTAGATAGAACTGTTGTCCATGTTTCATGGATGATGCTAGTGCATTTTTCTTAGAATAACGACCCCTCAAGCTTTATAATTTTCAATCATAAAACGCTCCAAAGAAAATATATATCAGAAAAAAAATTAATTAGTTATTTTTTTGTGTTGTTCTTAGCAAGTTATTAACAAAATTAACAATAGAGTTGGTCTAACAAGTGCAGCTTATGAATAAGAAAATTTTATAATTATATATATTTGGAAATTAACATGTTAACAATATGCAATATTGGAGCAACATTGAGAAATCGCTTTCGTGCTTTTGGTTTTTGGGTTTTGCACTATGTTTGTTTGATAGTATTCTTTTCTAACTTTCTTGGCCAACTCTTTGATATTATTCTAGTAACCTATAGATTCCCCTAGTTCAAACTTTTAGTGCCTTTATTCTCACGGCAATTGCTATTCTCACTAACGTATACCTGCATGCATTTACATGTACTTAATTAATTTCACATTTATATGTCCATATGGTTTGATGTTTGTAAACTTAAGTATAAAGGAAGGCCTTAGCGTCAAAAATATACACCTTGTAAATCTTTCTCATTGACTTCAAAATCAAGTATATTGGTTTTTTTTTAATAAGCAATGAAATGACTAGAAATGAGTTTTAGCAGCGCACACAAAGATAGCGCTTTTTAAAAAAGCGCTGCTAAAGGGTGAGTAAAAAAAAAAGAAAAAAAATTTCCTACCAAAGACAGCGCTTTTTAAAAAGCGCTGCTAAAGGGGGGCCCTAAGAAAACGCTTTTTAAAAAGCGCTGCTAAAGGGGTACCCTAAGAAAGCGCTTTTAAAAACTGCTGCTAAAGGGGACCCTAAAAAAGCGCTTTTAAAAAGCGTTGCTAAAGGGGGCCCCTTTAGCAGCGTTTTTTCTATAAAGCGCTGCTATATAGCATTGCTAAGACACCCTATGAAAGCGCTTTTAAAAGCGCTGCTAAAGGCCTTTAAAAGCGCTGCTATAGGTATTAGTATTATAATTTTAAAATACCCTCTAGAATTTTAAGAGAAACAGAACAATTGCGACGTGTTTCTTTTCTTCATTCTTTCTCCTCTGGCGAACGAACCTGCCCTATTCAAACTTTCTGTTGCCGACACCGCCGTCGACCGTCGCCCTCTTCCGTTGGATTGCGCCGCCGTCGCCGTTCACCGTCCGTTTTCGAGTGCATTCGTCCGTCTGCATTGCATTTCCACCATTGTTACGGTATGTGAAGTTTTACTATGGTTTTCTTGTTTATTTATCTTTTCACCATTGTTGGTATTTGAAGATATAGATGGTTTTGTGTTATTGAGATATTGAAGGTTTTGTGTTATTGTCTCTTTGTTGTTATTAAGATATTGAAGGTATATGTATATGACATTGCTGAGTTATAGTAGTTATATGTATTGATCAAATTCTTTAAAGGTTTGCTGAGTTAAGCATTTATGTGTTATTGTCTCTTTGTTGTTATTGAGATATTAAAGGTTTTGTGTTATTGAGATATTGAAGGTTTGATATAGTTGTTGCAATGCGAAGGTTTGTTGTTATTGATGCATTGAAGGTTTAATATTATTGTTTCTGTTGTTGTTTTTATTGAGTTATTGAAGGTTTAGTGAAGGTTTTTAGTGTTGTTTTGCATTGAAGGTTTGAGGACATGCAAGTAAATTTGAGTTCAAGTATGATATTTGATATGATGTTAACACTAATGTTGTTGGGTTTGTGTAGATATGTTACGTATACTATTGTTTTTGTTGTTGTTGTTGTTAAAAGCCTAAACTCAAAATGTATTATGTGTTATTGTTTTTCTATTGTTATTTTGGGGTTGAGATTGATGTTGTTTTTATTTTGTTGCTATTTTGAACTTAGATGGATAATTCATCTAGCACCACTCATACAAATGAGTTTTCTTCTAATTTGAATATAACAAAAATATTAGATAATGATGGCTAAAAATATTAATGTAACTTGATAGAGCATATTTTTTTTAATAGTTTGAAAATTCGTATTTTTTAAGAGAGTAGCCAACATGAATATGGTTTTATATGATATGGTTTTATATGTTATTATGGTTTTATATGTTGATGGTTTTATATGTTGATATGTTATTATGGATTTCTCAATGTTTATATGATATATATGTTATTATGGTTTTATATGTTTAGTTAGGATTTCTCAATGCTTAGTAAGGGTGTCATTTTGGTTTAAGGATTCTAGTAATTTTAATATGATTTGTTTTCGTGGATTATCTAGTATTTTTAATATGATTTGTCTTGGTTAATTATTAATATGATTTTAATAAAATTTATATTTTGTCTGCTATAGGGGTTACCTGTGAAGAGCAAAACTGTGATCGTTTCCAAGCATCCTATTGCGTAGCATTCTTAGAAGTTAGTGATTTCCTTACATGTATTCTCTGTTTTGTTTAACTTTTATAGTTTAGTGTAGATTACTCAATTAGTATGGATAAAAAATAGATGTCTGGTAATCGATTGTCAAAAGAGTACGGGAATGGGGTATCGAAGTTCGTTAAGTTTGCTGTTGAACACGCCAAAGACCCCAGTAGGATCACATGTCCTTGCTTAGGATGCTGTTATGGGCGTCGAGTTGACGCCGTTCAGTTGGAATCTCATTTAATGAGACATGGAATTGATCGAAGTTACACATGTTGGACATTACATGGTGAGATAAGTAACGAGAATGTTGAACCCCGGAATAATACGACATGTGGTTCAAAGGACAATGGCAGGGATACATATGATTGTGATCGAGTCGAAGAGATTGCAGAAGCACTTGAAGAAGATCTTCAAGATTATCCCAAGATGTTTGAGAGGTTGGTAAGCGATGCAGAGAAACCGTTGTATAAAGGTTGCACTACTTTCACAAGATTGTCCGCGGTATTAAAGTTGTACAATTTAAAGGCGGGTAATGGATGGTCAGATAAAAGTTTCACAGAGTTGTTAGCCCTACTTCAAGAGATGCTTCCGGAGGATAATGTTCTTCGCAATCGAACCTATGAAGCTAAAAAAATGTTATGCTCTATTGGCATGAGCTATGATAAGATACATGCTTGTCCAAATGATTGCATTTTGTTTCGAAATGAATATGCATCATTAAACGAGTGTCCTAAATGCGGTGTATCTCGGTATAAGAAAAAATTGTCACCAGCAAAAGTATTATGGTATTTTCCTATAATTCCGAGATTCAGACGCATGTTTCGTAGTGAAACAGATGCAAACCACCTGACTTGGCATGGGTTAGATTTTATTCTAAATTCATTTATTATAATTGTTCGATTTTTCCCTTTCTATATAACATTTCCGTCTAAACTGTTGTCTTATTTTATAGTGGACATTGGTTGTTGACCGCGATTAATCCGACGAAAGAAATAATGTACTATATAGATTCATTGGACGGCGATACAACAAAATATGAAAATTTGAGGAACTTTGTTGATACGTAAGTGATGAGATATACTGTTGTCTTTAATTATATATCTTTATTTATTATGTGACATTGTTCTAAATATGCGTTTATATTATGTTAGAGTTATACAAATATTCAGAGCACAAAGAGATGCAACGGTGCCAAAAAGCAAGGCTAACAACATCAACTGGATCAGAGTGGAGGTATATTTTCACATGTTTGACTGTTATAGTGGTTCTATTTGATAAAACTATTTAAACTATATATCCTGATAAATGTTCGTTTGTTTTTTCCATTTACAGTGTCCTCGGCAGCATAATGGTATTGACTGTGGATATTTTGTATTGCGCTTTATGAGGGAAATCATTCTTTCTGGTCAACTTGAGATTCCAGTCATGGTATGGATCAATTCATTATATAAGTTATATGATTCATTTTGATAATTATCCGATACTTCATCTGAGTAATTAGTTTTAAAATTAAATCTTATTCGATCTGTTATATTATGTAGTACTTTGATGAATTCAAGTGCGCTACTTATACGAAAGCAAAATTGAAAGAAATTAAAGAGAAATGGTGTCAATTTATTCTTGGGTTGAGAATTGTATAGAGTTATCGGATTGGAAGACTTGTAATTATATGTAAATTGAATGTATTTGTGTTGTTGTAATTCTGAGGATCGAATTTTGTTGTAACATATTTAAACAGGTTTATGTGTATATTAAAATGTTTATGAACAAAGTGATGAGTTACAATGTATCCAAAGTTTTGAATTGTATATATAAGGCCAAAGTTTGAATTGTATATTTAAGGACAAAGTTTTGAATTGTATATATAAGGCCAAAGTATTGAAATAAAGGCCTGAATTATAAGTAGGTTTGTGTAATATAAGCAGGTTGTTGGTAAATATACAAAACAGGGTAAATATTTTAAAAAAAGAATTAAAATCTGGGACATTAGACAACGCTTTTACAAAAAAGCGCTGCTAAAGGTCACAAACATTACGCTACAAAAGCGCTACTATAGGTTTGGAAGGGGGGGGGAGGGTCTAAGACAGCGCTTGTAAAAAGCGCTGCTAAAGGGCGGGCTATGGCAGCGCTTTGTAAAAGCGCTGCTAAAGGTGAGGTCTAAGACAGCGCTTTGTGAAAGCGCTGCTAAAGGGGTGATAGTTGGAGGAAATATGCAGCGCTTATAAAAGCACTGCTAAAGGGTTAAAAAAGCGCGGCTAAAGGTGCTGCTGAAGGGAGCCTTTAGCAGCGCTTTTTCCATGAAAAAAAGCGTTGTCTTTACCTTTAGCAGCGCCACTTTTGGCAGCGCTTTAAAGCGCTGCTAAATGCCAAAAAAAACGCTGTTAAAGGTCTTTTTTGGCATAGTGTACTCAAAAGAGTATAAAGGGTACTCAACTCTTATAAAGGAGAATAAAAAGAAGCTCTAGCAAATAACGCAGTTAATCGGAAAAACAAACCAATTGTAATACGAATAAGAACAATTAACAACAATAAAGAACTCAACCACCACTACGACACACCTTCTTCAAAGAATTCTCGAAACTAATAAAGAAAGCTGCATTAGTTGAGCATCTAATCACTTCGATTCCCAGCCAATTCTCAATTTCACTCCAAACATTATTAGCAAACTCACAACCGAAGAACAAATGAGTAGAAGTTTCGACAGAGTTGTCGCATCCTCCGCATAACAAACCTGAACTAACCTCGATTACTCCCCTTTTCGACAGCTGATGCTTCGTTGCGATTCTGTCCCATAAAACTATCCAAATGAAAATCTGTATCCTTGATGGAATTTTAGCATTCCATAAAATCTTCATGGCACAATCCATCACATCATCCAATGCTTGAAACGACCGATCCTCCAACAACAAGTCATAGCAGCAACAAACAGAAAAATCGCTCTCGCCTCCTCCTTTCCATAACCACATATCCTCCTTTTCCGTGGCCATGTCGATTCGAGACAGCCGCTTCTAAAGCTCCTGCAACTCTAACAATTCAATCGATCCTGCTGAGAGAGAAGGAATATAACAGGTCCACTTTCAATTATCCAGGAGTGTTTTCTTTGCGTAAATGAGAATATTTAGTGACGGAGTTATAATAAGAATGTTGTGTTTTTAGTCAAAGAGTGTTTTATACGTTTATTTATAATATTATATTTCAAAATAAAATCCAATTGAATGACATTGCTCCGATTTTGTGAATTGTCTAGAAGGGTTTAACCCCTTCTAAGATTATTGTATTGTCATGACAGTTACTTCATTATAGGGTACCCAGAACTTGTGAGAACTTGCATGTGGTATAATATCGATAGGTGGTTGGGTTGGTATGTTCTTTTATTTGTTAGATGAAGTTAGGTTTGTTATTTGAAATATTAGGTCACTTGGGGATAGTTATAAGGTTAGATTAAGGTTGGCCTTATTTTGCCAATCAATGATTAGGAGCACTTGATAATCTCAAAACAATCTCATTTTTTTCTAATAACATAACAATCATGGAAGAATTGGTGGACATGATAATCTTTTTCCTAGAAATGCTACCTTGGTAATACATATGACTCCTCATGTTGTTTCAACTTTTGGATGAAGGAAACTATTATGTGCCTTTAATGGCTATACCGTCATGATTGGGAATTTTTTTTTACTTGGCGTATCTAGAGTGTTCGGTGGTGCTTTTGTTCTTCACTCATTTTCCTTGTCTTGTAGTATTTTTTCCATTGTTTATCTTATTGGCTTTTTAACAAGGCAAGTATTTTTATATTGACGTCTTTTTTTATGAACAACATACTTTGTGAGAGATACATTACATATTTACTAAAAACTTTAAAGTAATAAATATGTGAGTTCTCTAATTTGTAAATATTCAAGTATCAACTTTTTCTATTTAATGTGGAACTTCCACACATTTTGTTTTTCAAAGTTTTTAACTCGCCTGCTATTTGTCAACACTCTCTTTTAAATGTGAGTTGTGGGGAGTACTTTTGATAGAAGGAATGTGATATATTACTTGAACCAGTCTCTAATATTACTGTTGGGATTTCAACAAGAGGAAATATTTTTACACTAAAGTCTTTCTTTATGAGCAGCACACTTTGTGAGAAACACACAACATATTGACCCAAAATTTTAAAGTGATAAACGTGTGAATTTTCTCACTTATAAATATTTAAATCTCTATTTTTTAAATCAATATAAAACTTTCTCAGACTATTTTTAAAAATTCTTAATTCACAATTCTCCACACTATGTTTTTAAAAATTCTTAATTCACAGTTCCTAACATTTCTTTTCTTAAATTTGTGTTTTATAGGATACCGTTGGTATTTTATTTGTATCCCCTTTCAATTCTAGGTAAATACTTTGTGCTTTTTATTTTATTTTATTTTATATATATCTTTAGTTGTCAATAAAAAAATGTAAAAGGTTATAATAATTTACCCTAATAAATTCAATTTATGGATGCATGTAAATCGAGTGGTAAAATTGTAGAGAGACAGGTTTAGATAAGGTGATAAACAAAGTTAACTCAGACACTCAATCATCCTTTTCCAAAACATAGACACATTTTAGATGGTAATTTAATAAGTAATAAACTAGTGGTTGAAATGAAGGAAAAAAACAAAGACAATCTTAATTAAAGTTGATTTTATTTATTATAAATATTTTAAAAGAGTTAATTATCTATAAGTGAATGTCAATTACCTTATTTCAGAATGAAAAATATTATGATCCTCTCAGATAAATAATTTAAATTACAATTAAAAAGAGCAGATAAACAAACATAAAAATGCCAATATTGAAAAAAAAAATGATTAGTCAAAGAGCTTGAGGCAGATTGAGATGGTTATGAAGCAACTTGACATCTGTGAGGTGAATCTTATATTTCTAAATCGATCTATATAATAAGTTTTAAAATTCCTTAGTTTCACTATCAAATTAGAGAAATACTGGTATGAAAACATATCTAAATTCATATTTTCAAAAACATCCAATAAAAAGAGAGATTTTTTTAATTTTTTTAAAATTTAATTTATTTTTTAATTGGAATAAAAATAATATTTTTATTTTTATTTTTTATTATAAAAAAGATTGTAATTAATTATAAATATAACTATGATTGTTTTTATATAACAATTTTCCATCACATTAATCTCATGAAGTACATTGCATGCGAGTCAATCAAATAGAATCATAAAATATATCTTAAAAAATATAGAAAAATGGCAACAAGCTCCATCTATACCCTTCAATTATGACTTGTATAGTGCTTATTTGCAATTGCAAAAGCCAATCACAAATAATAAATCAAAATAATGATTATATTAAACCCTGACAAATAATCACATGCACACATTGGAATAAATTTGCAAAACTTTAAATAACACATTTTCATTTAACAACACATAGCACATGTATGCATTTGATGTAAAACATATGCGTGCTTACTTATTTATTAGTGAGACACTACAATTTCACTACGCTTCGAGAATGATTACAACACTACTTTATCGTACAATGCATTTTTATTATATTATTTAATGGCAAAATACACCATTACTTATATACACAAATTAAAGTGCCACATAGGTTAAATACTAAAATATTGAATTATCATTCAACACCGATTCTTAATTTAGGATTTAACTAATCAATACTAACAACGCCAATTTCATTCCTTAAGTAAAGAAATTGTTCAGTCTTAATCGCTTTCGTCATAGCATTTACAGCTGCTTCTGGGTGCTACAATGCATAACTTCTAGCACTCCATATTGGACTTGACTTCTCAGAAAATGATATTTCGTCTCAATATGCTTGCTTCTCCCATGCAACACTGGATTCTTGGCAAGATTGATTGTATACTTGTTATCAATCATCAATTTCATAGGCTTATTTACCTTTATCTTTAGATCCTGCAGTAAATTCAGAAGTCAAACAGCTTAACATGCAGCCACAACACCTGCAATATATTTAGCTTCACGGGTTGACAAAGCAACAACCGATTTCTTCTTGGAACACCAAGAAATAGAGCCTCCCAGATACTTAAACAAATTTTCAAAAGTACTTCTTCTGTCAACTCTGTCTTAACACCAATCAGAGTCTGAATAACACATCAGCTCTGAATTAGCTTTTCTCTAGAAGGGAAAAACACTCCATTCTTCAGAGTCCCCTTAATATACCTCAGAATCCTGACAGTAGCTTGGTAATGAGACCACTTCGGTTTACTTGTGACAATACTAACCATTCCAACTGCATAACAAATATCAGGTCTGGTATTTCCTAAATACCTTAGAGAACCAACCAGTTGCTTGAAAGTTATAACATCAACATTATCACACTCAGGATCAGAATCCAACTTGTGATTCGTTTCAGCAGGTGTGACAACAGCCTTACAATTCAGTAGCTCGAATCTCTTCAGAAGCTCAAGTCCATACTTCAGATGATGCAAAATGATACCTTTCTTATAGTACAAAAATCCATCCCAAGAAAACATGTAATATTTCCTAGATCACTTATCTCAAACTCTTTCATCAACACCTTTTTCAACTTAGCTATCTCATGCTCACAACTTTCTGTTAGCAATATGTCATCAACATACAAACATACTAGAATCATATTGCCTTCAGAAGTATGTTGAACATAAACACCATACTCAATCTCACACTTTCTGAATCCTTGACGCTTGAAAAATGAATCATTTTTCAGATTCCAAGCTCTAGGAACTCGTTTCAGTCCATACAACGCTTTATGTAACTTGTACACCATCCCTTCCTGATTTTTTTCTCAAATTCAGGAGGTTGTGACACTTATACCACTTCTTGCAATGGACTATTCAGAAATGCATATTTCACATCTAAATGCATCAGAGGCCAATTCATGTTAGTTGTTATCATAATCACCAGTCTGATTGTATCATGTCTTGCTACAGGAGCAAACACTTCAAAGTAATCTAACCTAGTTTCTGTAGAAATACTCTTGCTACTAACCTTGCTTTGTGTTTTCCAAATGATTCACCTGGCTTTAGTTTCTCCTTGAAAACCCATCTGATGCTGATGGCTTTCTTGTCTTTTAGAAACTTAGACAACTTCCAAGTCTTGTTTCTTTCTATAGCCTCAATTTCTTATTTCATGGCCTTTAACCACACCTTATTCTTGAGAGGTTCTTCAACACTGACTGGTTCAAAGTGTACTAACATGGCACACTGGATGACTTCCCTTTCAGAGTCTACTTCAGTATATTGCAGCATGTCAAGCTCTGCAAATCTCCTTGGTATGTTTCTGATTCTTTGTGGCCTCTGAACTTGTTCAAAATTATCTTTGGATTTTGGAACAGTATCAGATGCTAAAACCCCAAAAGTACCACCTTCAGAGTCTGGAACATTAACATAGTCTGGATTACCACCAGAGTCTGAATCAATATCAGAATATAGATCAGAATCAGATTCACCTTCAAAGTCTTCTTTATCTTTAGAGTCAGCTTCAGACTCTAACTCATCTTCAGACTCACCTCCAGAATCAACTTCTGATTCTAACTCATCTTCAAAACCTTCATATTTTGAAGTATCTTCAGAAGTTAAATCAGGTGTTAACACCACACTAGAGTTGGATTGAGATTCACTCCAATTCCACGGTTCTGATTCTTTAACAACGATGTCTCATCTAAATTCAATCTTTTTATTGACAAGACAGTAAAGCTTATAAGCACCAGTACTGTGGTACCTTACAAGCAACATAACTATACTTTTGTCATCCAACTTCCTTCTCTTAGCATCTGAAACATGTTTTTAACACACAGAAACACCTTCAGATGGCTCACACTTTGCTTATCTCCAACCCACTTCTCTAAAGAACAATCGCCTTTAGTTTCTTTGTTGGACACTTGTTAAGCACATATGTTGCTATGGAAACAACTTCTCCCCATAATGTTTGAGTGAGTTTCTTCTCCTTCAGCATGCTC